GTTTTAAGCTAAGCTAACACATAGTACCTTTCATAGAAGTTACCGCTGAAAGATGTTGTTCCCTGTGTCTGATCTATATATTTTTAAATGTCTTTGCATGCATGTCAGGTCCAGGCTTGTGTATTCCCGGAGTTAAATAAACGATCAGTATTTAATTTCTTGATTATTATCGGCAAAAAAGAAACAAGCGTTAAAAGAACTTTTATAATATTTCATAATAAAATATAACAAAGGATTGTTTTTTTCCTTTCATTCGGATGGAGCGTGAAAAATCACATCAACACGTTTCAATTAATGTATTTGCCCTTTCGTGTACCGAATACTGAATTTTGTTTGACAGGAAACGTTCGTGCTCCTTGGTGTTTGAACACAATCCGCGACGCCGCCTGCGAGCGTCGGATGTTTCGATGATTCTGTGCTACTGTTTGCACACTGAAATCCTCACTGTATATTAGAAATTCTCTGATAGATTTAGTTTTATTTACAAATCAGTGATTAATATGATTACTGGATTTCGTGCGACTAAGTCAGGTGCAAAGATTGCATGCATTTACAAAACTTTACAATCTTGTTTACGCTCGGTTTCAAAAATACCAATTCACTTATTCGTTAATAAAATGTAGTTAAAAACAGAAAGTCGAATAAGTTCTACCTAGTTTTAAAACCGAATGCTTAACTAAGTTATTAAAGTCTTTGTAAATCCACAATAATTTATGTAGCTGAATGTACGTGTCTATGAGTAATTTCGCTTACTTGTGACTTGTAGACTAAATGAGGATTTTTTTTAGGCAAGCTTTGCTTTTTTGGCGAACTCCGATGACCGTTTGCACGTCTGTCACCTTATGCTATAAAAAACTTCTTTTTTTTTTTAAATTGCAAAAAAATTCTTCATTGAACTTTGATGTTTATCACATTCCGTTTAGGAATTTTCCACAGCTGTTACCGTTTTTTTTATTTTATTTATTAACGACACTCTAAGCTTTACAGAATGAATATAATCAGGTTACATTCATTTCACCATTCACTTTATTGTTATTAACTGAAACAAATCTCTTTGTTTCTATATCTGCAATATATCAAAATCTTCAAAGAGCATGAGTAATAGGTTTGCTTGGGACGGGAACCGGAAAAGTGTGAGGCGCGTGACTTCATTGTTAAGGGTCAACATTGGGCAGGGATTGAATCCGAAACTGATGCATAGGAATGGATAGCATTTGTAGTAACAGACTCGATTGGTTAAAAGATGTTTGAGTTACTTTTGGTTTTCTTTCTGTTAGTGTAACGGGTGTTTTCGATATAAGGATGAAAAATGTAACGTGTAACTTCCCTTGGAGGAAAGATTTGTGTTTTTGTGTTTTCGTGATTATTGATTATTGAAATTACTCAGAAATACTTGGCCGATTTCAATAATTCTTTCACCATTAAAGCTACGTTATCACTGAGTAACATATATTAATTCCAAATAGACGAAGTCGCGAGCAAAGTGTATTAATCAATAAAAATAATCGATTTGTATTCTATAAAAGCAAGCCATTAAAACTTTTAATACAAGAAAAAGAAACGATATAAAGTTACACTTGTATCAAAATCCAAGCTTAAAAGAAAATAATTTTTACCTTTGTTTGTCGGACCTATTAACATAACAAAAGATTTTGCCCATTCAATTATACGACCTTCGAATTTCAAACACTTCATAAATGACTACACCAAAATAGGCACTCGAGTACCAGACTAACAATGGAATAACATTACGGAGGCTCTTTTGAATGCCCCCCTTTAAGGCCCAAAGCTTTTATAACAGTTGCCAAGTTACTTCAATTAAATAGATGACTTTCGAAAATAAATCGAGTTTTCTAAGTCCCGTTCGAGATGTCGAGTAGTAAATTTTATTAGGGAAAAGAGGAAATGATTAATTAATAACACGCGAGACGATTAATAAAGCTCGCTAAAGCTCCGCGTATAGCTTATTATGTAAACCGATTTGTGTCGCTTTTGATTAAATGTTATATGTGATTAATGAGCTTTGTTATAATCTGATTAACATTATTAATCCTTAATTTGCATAATATCCACTAGCTGTTCCCGTGCGGCTTCATCCGCATGTAATTATGAAAACTTTATTTTATCGTTTACATTTGTCAAATTATCAATTGCAAATGTCAAAATGACATGACATGATGACAATCCATGGCAATCTTGTTTCCTTGATATTAGCAGCAACTTATAGTCTCTTTCCCACAATAGGGTTCTTATCCAAAATGTTTACCCCTAAGATTAATGTCTTGAAAATATATAGCCTAAATCATGACGTAAGTGTAGGGTTTTTTTTATTAAAAAAAGAGTTATTTTAAAATATACTGTAATTGCTGATATCTTAGGCAACAAAGAAGTGTGTGTTTACGCTTTATTATAATAGTACAGATAATAAACTAATAAATTGATTTAATTAAATCGTAATTTTCTGGGCTAAACAGAGATGTGTCTTTTTCACATTTTTTTCCTAAATAGCTTCCCTGAATCACAATACTCAGTTTAACAAAATGAATATTTTTCAGAAAACATTGTGCAAATATTTGACAGGTAGTTGAAATTCGATACGCATGTTTGCGTGTCAACCAGTACAACACATTTTTGAATTTCGAATCGGATAAAATTTGAAATATGTAACGTTATCGATATAAATTCGTACTCGGAGAAAAACCTTTTAAACCCTATTTCAACGAAATATTTCAAATACTCAAATGTTATTTAATACTGAGAATTTGTATTCTGATATGAATAAAACATTTCCAAATGAATATTTCTCAGTATCAATAGCATTTTTCTCGAATAAACTTAGGTTCGGACATTTTTATTTGTCTGAAAGTGATAAATTGACTCTCCATGTCTATAGCTGCCAACAAAGCGACTCAAGTAAGTCACAATCTAATCCTGCAAATTACAAATATCACAAAAGCTATACGAGATTTTATTTTTCTCATCTCTTGATTAATCCGAAGAAAAAGTGTCAAATGTACTCTGTCTATCTAATCTATGCTGTCTCTCTAATGCCTTTTACACACGCTCATTTTAACGGAACAGTCCAATCATTCGGTTAAAACGTGTGTTGAGGGCTTTACTTTTTAATCAATAGGTGAAGATTTTCCTGCTCAATAGCTTTCACTATAGATTAATGTATTTTCTCACTTTTTAGTCAATTTATATGTTGACAAGGAAATAATATTTGACCGATTTTAACTGAAAAAGATGTATCTTCTGTCTGTGTTCGTTGTACATAATATATAAGGGTGATTAGACAGAACACACTGGCTTAGTGTAGTTATGTATATAAGTATGATCACGTAAATAAAATTAAACTTTCAAACACTGAACGCATGACGCAATCGTTTACACGTGATCTAACCCGTATCGTCGAGTATCATTTGTTAAAGTTCCCAGACGTTTGTAACGAAATTTCACCGCAAATTACGTTCGAGGTTATCTAAGATTAGAGTGGAACAGATTCACCTCATAAATTTTCTACAAGATAATTTAAATTGTTTGTAGTTCCACGAATCTGTTAAATTCGTAAGACAATGTTAAACTATATTCTGATGTAATTGAGAATGTTGGCTAATTTAAAACGTTTGCCGATTATTCAAAGTATCGTTTAGTGTAAATCACATAATTCTACATTAGGAGACTGTTAATGATCACTTAAATACTCTGAGTGTATTCGTAAAGCTGTATTACTTCTAGTGATTATGGGTGCAAAATCCTGTGCCCAAATACCATTATTCTCAACTTAGCTTATCCTAGATTTTTGAACAGCGTGACTGAAGACTTGCCCGCGGCTCATTACGTCTTAATGAATTATTCACGATCCAGCGACGACCTCTCCCTCGTACACTCCCCTTTTTTATCTAGTCGCCGTAATCCACCGGCTTTAGATGGGATCTAAGGCTACCATCAAAAATGTTAAGGGAGAATTTTTTAAATTACAAATTAAATAAGATAGAAAATCTCTTACAGCGAGATTTAAACATGCTATGGTTTCTTGTGTATTGTGTAGTCAGGTGTTATTCCATTGGAATTATATACAGAGTGATTGTAAGATATTTGATAATCTAATAAAATTAGGTAGCTTATATGGTGTAAAATGTCTCTATAAATAAATGAAATGTGGATACATTACGGGTGATAACTTTGATTTTATCAAGCGACAAGGCACGGCCATGTTGGCGCGTAGTATGACCATACATTTCGTTATTCATTATTTAACTTTTGGTTAAATTTACTAGACAGCAAATTTGTTTATGATTTTTAATATATTTATTTTTTCCTACATTTTTGCCAAATGTCCTTGGATCTAGTATCATTATTGTGTCATCAATTACCCTTACGAGTATGATTTGTTTTCTGTGTTGAAAAAACAAACACAATTTTAAGTATTCAGTCGACATCATGTGAATTATTTCGTACGTGTCCACCCGATTTGTCGCACTGCAGCCATTACCGAGAGTCAATTTTTCAATATTCCTCATACGTATCGGATCGTATCGGCCAATACATTACGTGTCGATCAACAATCGTTTTCAAACAGTATCGAAATATCATTTTTCTCTGGATATCAACTGACAATCGATTTAATAATTTTGTTAAACCAAAGAGAGGGTGAGTTACTAGTAAGCTTGTACGTGATTTGGAAATGGTAATACCATGCCATGTCCCTAAGATGAATGCATGTTCAAGGTAACTCGTAAGGCGTATCTATGGCAATGAACGTGTTAACGCAATAGGAGGATATTCACTAGTAATTTCTGTCTTACTAATATGATAAATGCGAAAGTTTAGATGTATGGATGTTTATTAGGATTTGACGCCTAAACGATTGAATGGATGTCGATAAAATGTAGCATAGATGTAGAGCATCTTCTGGAAGAACACATAAGCTACTTTTTTTTGTTTCTGTTTTATTTCCACAATATATTTATGTAGGACTAAGAGGTTATAAAGAGGTTAAATATGTTTCTTTTTAATATGTTTTCTTTTTAATTGATTTCGAATTTTATATTTTGACGTTCGTTTAAAATGAGTTTTAAGTTGAGAGTCGAGAGAAAAAAGAGGAACGACGATGTAATAAGATGTGTTTTTTGTAAAATGGTGTAAATATTAAAAACAGCGATAGTTAACGAGTTTATTTTTATTTGATCGAGCCACAACCCCACAAAATCTCGTCCGGGATATTACCGATCATCAAAAAGGAGTACGACGACAACGACGAATTTTTTTTAAGAAGATTAAAACGATGATGATTGAGAGCTTTGGGAATCCGTTTTTGGCAATAGATTCGTTACCAAGATTTACCGGAGACGATGTTACCTATACTGCAACCAGGTGGGCACAAGACATTGAAGACAATGCGCAAATCTTTGCGTGGAACCCACAGCAAAAATTAATAATAGCCCGGCGCTGTTTGTCCGGCACCGCAGAACTATGGGCGAAGACGGAGAAAACTTTCGGCACATACGAGGAATTAAAAGCAGCTTTACTTAAAGAATTCCCAGAATCTGTAAATTGTAAAGAAATGCATGAGATGATGAGTGGAAGGAAAAAACGACCGAACGAGACGTATTATCAATATATGTTGATAATGAAAGAGTTGGGGAAGAGGGCCAAATTCCCAGATTATGTGTCTATACAATATATAATAGATGGAATAGATGATTACGAGGCAAACAAAATTTTACTCTACGGTGTAACGACGTATCCAGTTTTAAAAGAGAAATTGAACCTGTACGAAACCTTTAAACAGAAACAGAAGCAGGAGTTTGAAATGCGTCAACATTCAGTGAGGCCAAGAGCAGTGGAATGTGATTTTAGAAAAACGCTACGATGTTATAAGTGCGGTGAGGCGGGGCATTTATCAAATTCATGCACACAAGGAGTGAAATGTTTCAAATGTAATAGTTTTGGTCACATTGGTAAAGATTGTCAGATGGCGGCGATGAAGACACAAGCTCACGGCGCAGGCGCGAGCGGTAGCGGAAATGACAGGAAGTGTCATCCGGATCGGTCAATGTTCGTTCACGGAGGATGTGACAACGACAGCAATCAACGTCACGAATGTCAACAGGTATTAAATGTAAACAATAATAGTCCGATGGCGAATAAAAGTGTAAAGCAGGTAAAAATAGGTGATTTTACAACAAATTGTTTAATTGACACAGGTAGCAATTTAAATTTAATTTCATTTGAGTTATTTTCTAAACTAAATACGGAATACAAATATGAGAAAATGTTATTAACGGGATTAGGCTCTTGTCAGATATATTCGGTAGGGAAGTTTGATACGGATTTAATTATTGACAAACATTGTTACAGAGTTTATTTTTATATAGTTCCTTCAGGCGCAATGCCATACGATGTTATTTTAGGACAGCCGTTTTTGAGTAATACCATTGCTATTGTTGATAAAGGTGTAATTGAAATAAGGCCACAATTTTATGATGATTCTTACCAACGTGAAATACGTGTATCTTTCAGTAGCGACGACAGGAATACAGCGGTAGAAGGTATTTTAAGTCAGAATAAGCCTCTAAAGGTAAAGGATGCTCCAATTAAATTAGAAATAGAATTAAAAGATGACATACCGGTGACACGACGACCAACATTGGATATAACAGAAGATAAGGTGGTAAAGGAACAAATTTATGAGTGCTTATCCAAAGAAAATGAGGACGAAGGAATAAGAATGCATAAGGAGGACGTATTGCAGGTAGCCGTGGATTATGGCTTAGATATAAGTCAAAAGATGGTGATAGACGGAAGTCCGACAGGTGATACAGTGCAAAATGTTGATGTGTTAAGTAAGACCATACGTTTTGTTGACAGCGAATTACAAGCACAAGAAGGCGATGATGCGTTGCAAGTTATAAGAGAAATTTTGAAACGAAATGATTACGATGATTATATTAAGAAGAATGAGCTTATTTATAAAGGTGTAGATGAAGCAGAAGTTGTACCCGAACTCATGAAGCATGAAATTATTATGAGGACTCATGGTGTGAGGCACTCCGTAAAAAAGAAAATAAAGGACATTAAAGAGAAAGAATATTTTATCAGGAAATTAGACAGTAAAATCGGAGAAATAATTTTATTGTGTGTACCATGTTTATTAGCTTGCAGGAAAGCTGGGAAGAAGGAAGGCATAGGCTGTTGTATCAAATAGGAAAGGGAGAAAAACACATTTAGCTGTAGATTATATGAAAAGATGGCCTTAATTTGATTATTCCTTAGTAGTAACGATTTTGTTTTAGTTTAGTTTTGTTATTTTGTGTAATTTTAAGTTTGATTTATTGTTAGTCTGAGGGCAGACTAAAGCAGGATGGCCGAGCTGTAGGACTAAGAGGTTATAAAGAGGTTAAATATGTTTCTTTTTAATATGTTTTCTTTTTAATTGATTTCGAATTTTATATTTTGACGTTCGTTTAAAATGAGTTTTAAGTTGAGAGTCGAGAGAAAAAAGAGGAACGACGATGTAATAAGATGTGTTTTTTGTAAAATGGTGTAAATATTAAAAACAGCGATAGTTAACGAGTTTATTTTTATTTGATCGAGCCACAACCCCACATTTATAATAGTAAAATAGTAATAGAAGTATATATCCGTGTACAAAAAGAAATCACAGGAAAGAACGGCCTTAGGGATTTGACTTAAACAAATCGCAGCAGCAAGAATTGTAATTAAAATGTCTACGTTTTGAATGTAGTCGTTTCAAAAAGAAAACTAAAAGAATCCCCAGACTGGAGCCATAATTCTTTTTGGCTCTTTTTTCTTGGCGATTTCTTGTTATTAATTTAGTTATAATTCATATTATTTCTTATAAATCGCATAATTTTAATTCGATCATTGCTATAATGTAAATATGTATGCAAACACATTTTATTAGCTACTAGCTGTTCCCCTGCGACTTCATCCGCATAAAATTATGAAAATTTTATTTCATTGTTTACACGTGTCAAATTATCAATTGCAAATGTCAGAATGACATGACATGATGACAAAACATGGCAACCTTGCTTCCTTGATGTACGCAGCAACTTATGGTCTCTTTCCCTTATTAGGGTTTTTATCCAAAATGTTTACCACCTAAGTTTAATGGCGTCAAAATATATATCATAAAGCGTGACGTAAGTGTAGGGCTTTTTATTAAAAAAAAGAATTATGCAAAAATATGCTGTAATTGCTGACATCTTAGGCAACAAAGAAGTGTGTGTTTACGCTTTATTATAATAGTATAGATTTATAATTTTAAAAGTGTGTAAAAAGGGAATGAATTCAGATTAGACTCCTGATAGAGGTGTTTGGAAAAGATTACTTGTATCGACCCTAGGTAGGGAAAATGACAAGATGTTGATAATGATGAGTCAAATTAATTGGTACTTAAATGTTCCCAGGAATATTGCCAGGTATTTATGAGTAAGTCGAGGTAAATTTTTACTCCCTTAATGCTTGGAGTGTGACTCAGAACCAAACTTGTGTATTAATTTTCCACTCAAAGGATTTAAAGGTATTCTCTAACAAACATCTTCAATTCTTTGTAAAGTGGTTTTATTCCAAAGGTTTCTGCAGTAAAAATATTAAGTTCTTTTTGTATTATCTTTTTTTTTATGATAAGTTGAGATTATCTCTTTTGACTTTTTACTTTTTTACAAGTTACAATGTCCGTTTATTTTCCTTTTTATGTATGAGTTAAACTCTATAAGGAAAACCAAAAATAATATGCTTCTCAGTTAATCATATAGTTTCATTTAGCATCTCTTCTAATAAATATAGTAAAGGTCTTGTCAAAATTACACCTGAATTATAAAAAACCTTCCTCAAGTATATAATTTCAAAGTTCGTACAATATACTTCGAAATTTAATAAAGATTTACCATGCATATTATTTTCAGACATTCCTGGAATGTGCTTTTTCATGTTATTATCAAATTTGTAACCAATCTCGACTTTCGTAAGTTAGTCGCCATGAGACAAGACTTGTAGCTCTTTACATGTCTATAAATAATTCATCCACCATTCCCCTTCTACTCTCACGCCCGCTTTCTACTGACCTCGTGTTTTGAAGATATCAAACATTGGATTGTCCTTAATATTTCACTTTTGGCAACATCAACTGTTTACTCGAAAGAGATAAATGCTTTCAATATTTTATGAAACACACTTTGTTTTTGATAAACAATTTCTGAGAGTGGAATCTGACAGTCTTACTATTCGATTCAATAACTATATATATACAGCTTAATGCTTTGTTTGTATCGTTAAGTGAATGGATAAATAAATCATGCTACAAACCTGAAACTAGTATATTATTTATTTGGATACTAGCTTTCGCTCGCGACTACGTCCGCGTGGAATTAAAAAAAAACTAAAGTGAGTAGCCTATGTGTTCTTCGAGACTATCATCTACATATATACCAAATTTCGAACGAACGAAATCCGTTAAGCCGTTTAGGCTACAAACTCTAACAAACATCCATCCATCTATCTAAACTTTCGCATTTATAATTAAATTAGTTTAATATGACTTATGTTAAATCTTGGGTTTTTTTTAAATGTCAATTACTTTATTTTACAAACTATTACAGGTGTAAAACAATGCAATAAACAAGAAAGCTTTAAGATTGAATAGTAGAGGTAGACCAAAGTATGGATGGATTGTGTGAATCAGGTTTTGATTTAAGAAGAGTGTGAATTAAAATATGACGTCTGATAGAGATGTATGAAAGAGCAAACTGTAAAGACTCTCCGTGATCAGTGCAGATCGATGACGATAAATGTTTACAAAGCAAAGTAAATGAATTACAGAGGTAGAATACTTCGTATAAATTATACATCAAGGACAAAATTCTATTAGGTAAAGTAAACGCAGACGAATTAGGTAAATACTAGCGATGCTCTACAAAATAGAGCCCTGAATAAATAACCACCACTACTAATGCTTGAAAAGGTTACTTTCACAATGTAAAAAGCTTAAATTTTCTGCTTTAAAAACCCTTTTCACCACTTCATCGTCATTTTAAAAGTTATCGTATGACACAAAGGGTGCTACGCTCAATACATTCTTTTGATCATTTTTGACAATTTATTTAGTGTAGAATTTTATTCTCGAAAGATCGAATTTTTTTAATTAATCTAGCTGTTACTCGCAACTTCGCCCGCGTGAATTAAAAATAAAACGTGGCGTATAATACTCGCTGACAACGTAGCATTTTAATATTAAAAGATCCATTAAAATCGGCACAGTAGTTTTTGAGTTATTTAAATACATACAAAAATACAAATTTGTCTTTATAATATTAGTATAAATGGATAACTTGAGCTGCTGTAACAAAAATGTTTAATAATTGCCCATAATTAAAGTGTAAGAATTTGGTAAGAAAAGTTCATTATGTTAATTTTAATACATTTCAATATTTACCTTATTCTTTGACAAAGAACATATTTAAGTTGGAGCAATTTACACGTCTATCTCTGTTACAGCTCACAAACTTGAGATGTCGTTAAGTGAATGACTCTTCTCAATGAAATTAGTACTCGGGGGATTCCTTTGTTTGTAAGTCGTTTTACAACACCCTCTTGTCTTTTGAGAAATGATTATCGCTGAAGTATCGTGACTTGCGTAACATTTTTAAAGCGCAAAGATCGCTTAATAAGCGAAAATGTTAATTTTCAATTTACTTGTAACGGTTTCTGTTTAGTCTAATATTTAAGATGAAGGAGGAGGCGATAGTACTTTTAAAATAAAAGTTTGATCAACATTTTATTTGAAATCGATAGTTGAAGTTACTGTTTCGAATAGTACTTTTGTGGTTTACTAGCTGTTCCCGTGCGGCTTCATCCGCATGAAATTGTGAAAATTTTATTTTATGGTTTACATTTGTCAAATTATTAATAGCAAATGTCAAAATTACATGACATGACAAACCTTAGCAATCTTTCTTTCTTGATGTTAGCAGCAACTTATGGTCTCTTTCCCACCTTAGGGTTTTTATCCAAAATATTTACCCCTGAGTTTAATGGCGTGAAAATATATAGCCTAAAGCATGACGTAAGTGTAGGGCTTTTTGTTAAAAAAATAATTGTTTAAAAATATTCTGTAATTGCTGACATTTTGGGCAACAAAGAAGTGTGTGTTTACGTTTTATTACAATAGTATAAATAAATATCTACCAAATAAATATCTAGCGACAATAAAATTGTTACATTGTATTCTCTCCTCTATGATTATGGTATTCAAAAACCGTTGTAATGACACATAAAATTATAAACCCTATGTCTGCAAACTTTTGATGCCATCGGATGAACGATACTGATGTATTAACGAAGTTTTTAAATCATCGTTGAACGAATTTCTTTATTTTTGCTTGTAAAACTGAGAACACATTATTTACGAAGACAAAAACATGTTACATATTCTTTTAACGTCTTTCAAAAACAAAATTATAATTTCCACACCATATACTTCTGTGCGTAAAACATAATAAAAGTATGAAATATTGTTGTGAAAGTGGGACGTCTGTGACAGCTTAATGTCTATCTCAAAATATGTTTTTTTATTAAATTCACAACACGCCGCCTGAAAATGCTTAAATGTTTCTTGTAAAATAACATCATTACATTACAACAGTTAAGTAAACAGTTAAGTAACAAAATGGATGTAAAATGTGTAATCTTTTAGTTAAGTTAATAGTTAATTATTTTTCATCTTTTTTGTAATACAGTAAAATTACGGCCGAAAACTGAAACAAAATGGCCGATTTCCTAGCTACTTTTAAACACTCGTTATTATTATTGGTTCCATAACTTCTTGAAATGCGTTTCTGAACTATGCAGCTTCAGTTTTACTCCTTTTAAATTCACTTTAACCTAATACTAACAAATCACTACGTAATGATAAAATAATTGAAATCTTCAGCAAACCAGCATTAAATACGTAACAAGATATTAAATTAAAAGGTCACGCTTAAAATCCAAAGTACAATACAATTTTGACATCTGACAGATTGCAAGCAGGGCTCAAAAACGAAGTGATTAAGATTCTCTAAGCATTCGACTAGTACTCAGTAAACCAGATATTTCGTAAAGAAGCTTATTAGAGTCGTACCTTTATGGCAGCACTAAAAAACAATATTGAGACATTGTGTTCTTTAAACTTACGTAAATGCTAATGGAAATATTTAATTATTTATAAACGGAGTGTTCTGGCTATTTTTAGAATTTGAAATATAAAAGTTATTCATGCGACGCAGTAAACGAAACACGTTCGTTAAAAGGTGCACCACTTTTACTCGGCTGGCTCTTGACACGTTTTCACTTTCGCACCGGCCGCCCCGGAATTGTAGAGAACGTTTTTTTCATACGAGTGGAACTGCGCTTTCATATTTTAAACGGGGTCTCGCCTTTCAGAAGGTCAAGTAGTAGCTTAATTTTCGTTCGCAATTCTTTTTTAATGCTCCTTCACGTAATATTTTAGTTGTGGCATAAAGTTTATTTTATAACTTAGTTTAAACTTATCATTGAAAATTTAAACCAATTATTTTTTTATACAAATTAGGTCATTTAAAATTCATCGTGTTAAAACCTAGATCATCGTATCCTATTCGGTTGGTTGAATACATATAGAGTAAATTTACTTACGTCGTACATTTTCCAGCTCTGAGCGGAGTAAGTTGTCCCGCCAGAAGTAAAACTGCAAACGCTAACATTTTGTTTATCTGTCAACGCATTTCTTCGGGATAATCTGAAAAAGAGAGAAAAGATTTTATTTATTTGTTTACTGTTTTCTTTTTATAATATAAGGTGGCAAGCGGCCACCTGAATCCACCAAAATTGAAAGCGACCCCTACCCATAAACATCCGCAAGTGCAGATGCGTTGCCTACCCTTAATTGACGGAGGAGGAGACGCACATAAAGAGGACATTTCCCCTTCCTATGCATCTCCTCAGCCATCACATCCACTTTTCCTTCCCATCCTCTCCTCTTAAGAAAAGGGAAAGGGACTAAAATTAGGCCTCCGGCACCACACTCATCAGACGAAACGCGGAATTGCTTCCACTTCACGCCTGTCTTCTGTGTGGTCGTGGCGATACGGCGAGCCGGCCTATTCGTGCGAAGATGTAAAAGCGGGCTCTACCACTGTTAAACTGTATACTGTATGTATGTGTTTTAATGATTATACAGGTTAGAGTTTTGTATACATTTCTTGTCAGCGTAAAAGAAAACAACACTTAAAATGACTATACCCTAACATTAACCCCGAGAAAGGCGCTAATAGTTACAGCAGAGTTACCCTTCGCACCATATGGGCGTGAATTAGGGACTGCAGCATCTGTTCGGGGCAGGTAAAACATAAATTATAGAACCCTTTTAGTAATGATATTACAAAAGTGGTACTTTGGAAAGTTCTAACGTCATTCGCATTAGTAACCCGTTCACGTAATGCCAGACAAAAGATACTATTGTTTGAGGCATACGAAAGAAAAAATAAAAGTATCTTTTGTTAGAGTATCATAAAATTTGTATTGTTCAAAAAATATAAACCATTAGCTTTAGCCCGCGACTCCGTCCGCGTGAAAATAAAAAAAGAAGGGTAGCTTATGTTTTCTTTTAGACTATTATCTACATCTATACCAAATTTCATTGAGATCCATTCTGCAGTTTAGGCTACAAACTCTTACAAACATCCATACATCTATCAAAACATTCACATTTACAATATAAGTAAGATTAATCCATTTATTTATATGGCTTTTTAAAAAAATGCCTAATTATATAGGCTTGGTTTATATGTCCACGATCATTGCACCTTCTACTGAGTAACGTAACGTTGCACAAGATATTAGCGAAAATTTACGACCTGATAACAGCCCACCAAATTACCTTGATCCCCTTCGTTGAACCGTATTAAAGCCAAATCGTGTATATAAGCGGCCACAGTATGATCTAGATAGGTCAAAGCAAAATGGATGAAGCATTAAACTCGTCTACTAAATGGATTAAGACGACTAGAACGTGAATTACCTCTGATCCCTAGACTTGTGTGGATTGAGGATATATCGGTTCGTATAAAAATGTACTTATTGTAAAATGCATACTTTTTTCTGTTATGTTCTGTAACTTACTGCTATACTCGGAGTTATTGTATGAGCTTACTTAGTTAAGTGCAGTGCGGAAAAGCTCTAAGCCTACTAAAGTAAGACTGCGTGTGGAAATTAACAACAAATACGAAGAGAATCTTATTAAATTAAAACATTTGTTTACTAGCTGTTCCAGTGCTTCATTCGCATGAAATTATAAAAACTTTATTTTATTGTTTACATTTGTCAAATTCTCGATACCGGGCCCAGCAACCTTGCTTGCTTAATGTTGGAAGCTTGTAGTTTATGGTTCCTTGTCCTCATCAAGGTACTTTTCTAATTTATCTACCCTTACGTTAAATCGCGTGAAAATATATAGCCTAATATCGTAAGTGTAGAGGATTTTATTAAAGAAATATATTACAAAATATGCTCTGATTGCTGATATCCTTTGCCACGAAGTAGCGTGTGTTTACGCTTTATTATATTAGTACCATAACACAGTAGGATAAACGCTTGGCCTACTTTGAACTGAGTGATTACTTTGATCTAAGTTTAAACCGTATAAAGGCTTAATCAACAGTAAATAATACGAATAAAATCAGTGAATGCCGCATCCTCGCGTCGTGAAACAAGCGGTGCGTGGCTACACAAATACGCGAGCTAATCATATTAGCTACGCAGTCGCTTTGAAACTTTCCCCCGTATTCTTAGTGATGGGAAATATTTTTATCGATATCGACTTTTTCACGTTTTAAAGTAAAAATGTTAATGCAAGAGAGATTATGATAAATGATATAATAAACTGTCGTCAAAAATGCAATGAAACAGTGGTGTTCGTTTTTAAGAAAATTATAGATTTAATAAATATTTCATTAATCTGACTGATTCTTGATTCTGTCAAGTATGACGTTTTATTGTAGTAAAGATGCTGATAGTAAAGATTTCTTTTATCATTTCAAATAAGAATACAAAATATTGACTTAACACAGGATCCCAGAAAAGTACGTGCCTGCCTACTACGTTCAACATTTTGATATTTTAATTTATCGATAAACAGTTTGACTTGACATCACTAACACTACATTACAGGTGAGTGCTCGTAAACGTGCCCCCTATAGATGACATTATTAAATTTAACGTCTCGTCATATACTTACTATAAAAAGGTGCATCTGCGTGTATAAAAGCAACGTAAAAAGATCGTAACTTAGAGTACCACGTCTAAGAAACGGGATTTTTGTTCTTTGCTCAAAACATTCAAGGAATTTTTAAACTAATTCTCTTACTTTACAGTACAATAATATAAAGATAAATAAGATATGCAAGTAAACATTAAATATAAACCATAGAATTGTAGAAATGCAATAATTAGACACAGAACTTTTTACTTGAGGTAATTTTGTCATGAATACTTATAGGTAAGGACGCATAGGGAGGGTAAATGTTCTCTTTTTGTACATACTCCTTCCATTAGAGATAGGAAAATTATCTATTCAGATGTGTCGGGGTAGCGGTTGCTTCGCTGTTTCGGCAAGTTTAGTTAGCCGTAAGTTCTTTAGCCAAATGACGTAATAAATATAAACTATTGTTTATGTATCCGTAATAATATGATATACGGAACCAAACCTTTACTTTAATGAAATTAATTATCATTCTGTTGTCAGCACATATGACACACATATTCCTTACCATTTCCTGTTAATATTATCTTAATAATAGAGTAATTAATGCTTTAATTACCAGTAAATTTATCAGTTTACCGCTTTAAATGTAACAATGATAATTACGTAAACGTAGATTTCATTCTTATTGAAATATATATTTATCTCTACACTATTATAATAAAGCGTAAACACAAACTTCTTTGTTGCCTAAGATGTCAGCAATTACAGCATATTTTTGAATAATCCTTTTCTTAATAATAAGCTCTACACTTACGTCACGCTTTAGGCTATATATTTTCACGCTATTAAACTTAGGGGTAAACATGTTGAATAAAAAACCTAATGTGGGAAAGACCCACAAGTTGTTGCCAACATCAAGGAAGCAAGATTGCCAAAGTTTGTCATGTCATGTCATTTTGACATTTGCAATTAATAATTCGACAGATGTAAACAATAAAATAAAGTTTTTGTAATTCCATGCGGATGAAGCCGCACGGGAACAGCTATTTGTAAATAGGATTTGTATTTTTGTTTATAATAAACTCAAAAACTATTGAACAGATTTAAAAAATACTGTCATCATTACTAAGTAACATATTGTTTTTTAATTTGCGCAAATGAAGTCACGAGCAAAATATAGTCTTGAATAATTATTTCAATTTTCAAATATAATATACTCAACCTTAAAAATATCTTTAAAATTTATAATGTACTAAGAAACTGACCATTAATAGTGTAAAAGAAATCCAAGCCAGTTAAGTTATCCAGAGTGTAATAAAACTAATGAAAGACAAGTCTCGGATTAATCTTGGATCTAAAAATAGTCCTCCAATTCAGTGTCCTTATATTACTTTCCTACAACGCACAAGTACGTGACAAGGATATTGAATTCGACGTTGGAGAAAAATAAATCATACATATAAAATATAGCAATGACATATTTCCTAATTATTACAATACAGATGAAAACACAATATTCTTTTTGTAATAAAATATTTATAATCATGCCCAAAGCATGTTCGGAACCTTTAAGAGTTTTCTTTATTAACAGCTTTTGTTCGGAACATCGTCCTAGTGAAATTAAAAAAAACAATCTAGTAATAATAGCCTGATGGCAAAGTAAGTTTACTAGTATATTGCATTGACAAATAATTAAAAAAATAAAAAAGCACTAGAAAAGTTTCTTAATTCTTACAAAATCTATTTCCTCATTCCTCGTTAGTTACGATTTTCTCCGATTCATTAGCAAAGGATTGTATTAATTTTAAGCCTATTGTTTGCATTGTACAGGCCTTTGCTTTTGTAGATTAATCTTGCTTATCCGATAAATTTAACTCTACTTTAGTTAAGACTAGCTTTCGCTCGCGTTTCCGTCCGCGTGAAATTGAAAACAATAAAAGTGAGTAGCCTATGTGTTTTTGCAGACTATCCTCTACGTCTATGCCAGATTTCATTGAGATCCGTCCCGAAATTTAGGCTACAAACTCTAACAAACATCTATCCATCCATCTAAACTTTTGCATTTATAATATTAGTTCGATTTATGCAATTTAAGCGGTTTTATTTTGCATAATTCCTTGAAAGTTTCAATGATATACTGACAAGGTTCAATAAAGGCTTCGCTAAAAGCATATAGGGGTGCAACACGCGTGCACCCCTAATATGATTAGTCGACCCAATTCCATTGTTGCATATTTGCCACTATTCTAGAATATTCAGCAAACATTTACATGGCTTGAATATTTATTAACAGCATATTCATCTGTTCAATATATACATTTGTTATTGAGCAATGTTAAATTATTTTGAATACACAAAATTTATTTAAAAGATCGAATAACTAATACAAATCTAAAGAAATTCTTCTGACAGTTCTGAGACTTTGATTAAATTTCATTAAAATATAGTATTTACAAGCATTAGTCACAAATAAGAAAAAACCAACGCAATTTTAATCAAATTTTATAAAAAA